GAAACTACTGGGCTCCAAACAAGATGATAATGTATGTGCAATATTCCTTTTCTTCACACATTCCTTTCTTTTTCCTTTAATGCCAACACCTTATGTTATGCACAATTTAAACTGCAGACTCTTGAGGACAGCATATACAATTTTTGCTGTTTGTAAAATGGCAATCGCCTATGGGAGTTATACATAACAGTAGGATTTAAAGTCATTCACCCAATGTTATATTAGGAAATATTACACAAGAGTGAGAGGGAGAAATTAAAAAACTTAATCATACTCTTCACAAAATTAAACTGTATACAGAGAAAACAAAAAAATGAAATCATAATACAATGCATTACCTTCTCTCCAAGGCGGATTAGAAGTAAGCACTCTAATATGACAATATTTATGAGCTTGCTGTAATTACTAGCAATAGGAAGGAGGAAATAAATGTCACTTTCAAGTGGCAGAAGTAACAAGGTATTATGCCTTCACTACTTAGATAATGTTAGATAATTCCCTGTCACTGGCAGGTGAATACTTCTATTGCTAAGGCATTAGCATGTTCCTTGGCACACTTCTAGCTTCTGCCAGCTGACATCCTCCCAGTTTCCAGGCATGGTTTGGGAGACAGATCATCACCATGACCATTGCCATTAGGCAGTTTGGATATGAACATTCAGTCCTGAGGACCAAGAGAGTTCACTAGTATAGGTGTGGGCCAAGCCATGCCAGCCGGCCACGGTCCCTGTGAGCATTCCTAGGCATGTAATGTAGCAGTATAGATGCAGCCCGCTGATTTCATTGCTGTGCATGTCCTGCATACAGGCTCCTTGATTTATCCATGCTGTGTCTTCAATACATATTCAAAATAAAAAGCCGTATTTAAATAAAAAACTGCAATATCACAGACTTCTAACTCTACAACCATCTTTTCCTCACTCTGTAATCAAATGCTTGCATTAACAATAACATAACCAAAACTCAGTTCAGTGATGCATCTCCTTATTCAGTTTCCCCTCTCTGACAATGAGAGAATAAAAACAGCACAGCAATTTTATCCAGGAAAAAAACCCTCCCTGGTTCTTTTGTGGAGGGAGAACATTACTCTTGAATTTTTATGTGACATTTCAGTACTACGGAGCCAGATGCATTAAAAATGTAAACTGAATATTTCTGTTTAAATATTGAACAGAGACATAATCTCTACAGTTCTTATTTCTCTACCTGTGGCAAGATTAACACTCTACAACACTTGCACCACTCGCCATTTTCCTACTGAGATCTCAGAAATAAATCTGGAACTTACCTTGTGATTAAGGACAAAATTAACTACTCCACCATTTTCTTTTATGCATGCTTTCAGCTTGCTCTTCTCCTGAGTGGCTAAGTATTTAACTTTAATGAAGAACTCACAGTTTGCAAAGATTGCCATTGCCCTCCTGTTAAAAGAGAAATTTTTTTTTTTTGGCTGCGAAAACTTTCATTCCCACTATCCACCTAAGTAGTCTCTCACCAAATATATTCTTTGCAACTCTAACAAGTTCCAAAACAAATCGCATTTTTCTAGCATGGTAATCAAATCCATTCAGAACATCTCTTAATGGTTTGTGTTTTGTTTTTTTTTTTTTTTAATTATGTGGAAAATTTAGTGTAACCTACATTTTCAGTGAAGTCATGGCTTGAACTAACTGCCAAACTGTTGTCTTGATATCTTGCTGCTAATACCCACTGCTAGTAATGTGGAATTATCTTAAACTGGAACAACTTCTCTTTCAGTTTCCCTTCCACACAGTACCATTGTAAAATAACTCTCTTTTTCAAGAATGTAAACTGCTTTTCATGTTTCCACTCACTGATTTATAATCTGTAAACATAAAAAAACCTTCATCCCACAACATTTAAAGAGAACTTTGGAAAACTGATCCAGATTAAACCCAACACACAAAAAAACCCACCACCACCAACAGCAACAAAACTCCCAAAACCAAGAGGCTAGTTTTAATTCAGATCTCTCTTCTGATTGAATTCACCCTCTGGCCTACAACAAAGATTTACAAGAAGGAGTAGTGTAGCAGTGGAAGTGATGAAGAGGTAGGGGAGAGATGGAAATAGGGGGACTGCTTCTCTTCTCAGCAGGATTGACTTAAATTGTCTGTAAAACAACTTGAATGAAAATCGGCTGTGTGTTGTTTGTGACAAACTATGCTAAGATAAGCGAGGCTAGGAAAGTTTTATTTAAACAGGAGTAGAATTTATGACAACAAAATATAATGGCAGCATTTGGCTTAAGTGATTAAATGTATCATCAATGTATATTTATTTTCCTAGATGCTTATGAGTGTAAAGCTATTTTAAAACCTGATGAAAATTATAATTATAGCGTAAATGAGAACACTATACAGAGCACTGTGCTCTTTATATAGCATATGAGCGCCTCAGCATGTCACAGGCTTTCCAGGGTTTCAGAGCCCTTCAGTGGTAAATGAGTGCTAAGTGTGAGCTAGAGGGCCTTATGACTGAGTGGGTTCAGACAGAAGCCAAAATCAATGCCCCCACTAAGCTTATTTGAAGCACAGTGCTCAGTTTAGTTTTCTCTGAAAGGCATTCAGAGGGTACACCTCAAAACCACTTTGAGAACTTAATTAACATAAGGCAGCTCTTGACAACCAAAAGATTTGGCTTAAAATTGCATTGCTGCTCCAAGCCAAACTGCTAATGCAGACATGCTGCTAACGCTACAGTAACTAGAATGAAGAGAACATATGCTTGTAAAACAAAATATTCAGGTCATAAATTCTTTTTACAATGATTCTCTGGATCCCTGTACACCATGTACATATCTCATCCAGAGGGTTAGTATCAGTGTCACTGGCAAATACTTTGTTTTTACTCTATCTGTTTGTATTTCTGGAAAAGCTACTTGATGATGTAAATTTTCCACAGTGACTTAAGGCCCAATAATTTTATTTGTGAGATAACTGGACAAAACTGACACTCTAGAATACTTGGCCTCTCCAAATTCATCCTGGACTCACAGGATGAGGCAGAACAAATAAGAAATTGCTTGTTCGAAAGTAAAGGTAATGTGAAAAGAAAGCAGTTCTTGTGTTAGCCAAAAATGTCTGATATTAAGTGCCCTCTCTCTTGGGGAGGCGATTCGGAGCAAAAATGACCTTTCTCCAACTTAATGAGAGCTCCCACATAGACTGCAAATTCTGATTAAGCTTCTATCCTGCTACTTCTATATATAAACAACACCTACATTAAAGACTGCAAAAAGGAAAGCAGATGCTGTTTGAACTACTTGCTTTCATTTACCAATTCACATTTCTCTGCACTGTGTATACGCAAATGAGGAAACATTTGTTAGAACAGTTTCTTTACTAGTTTCTTAGGACTAAAACCAAAGAATTCAATTACCCAATAGGTTCTTCTGGCTTAAAAATTAGTATCGGTCAAATTGCACTGAAGCCTTTACAAGGTCAACAAAACCTTTACATCAACCCTGCAGAAAGATTCCACGGTAGTGTGGAGAGACAATAAACCAAGAGACAGTAACAATGCAGAGGAAATGTTTAAATGGCACTGACAACAGCACTTCACAATCTACGATAAGATTATTGTTTGATTAATTTATCAAGGACCCAAGTCCAGATTATTAGGATAACGTTTCAGATAAAAAAACCCAAAAACCAAAAACAACAAACCAACCAAAACACATTAGCCTGAGGTAATTTTAGGGTGAGGTTTAGAGTATGTTAGCTATAGGACATTTAAGGAATGTGTTTATTTTCTTACTCTACGGCCTATTTGATTTTCAATGTATGCAAGTAAAGTTGTTCTTCGGTGCAGTAAAAAAGGAATCAGATGGCTAGCTAGCATGGAATAAGTTAAATTATTAGCTAGAAAATAATAAGGAGTTAGTCAAGGAGAGAGAGCAACATAATTCATTTGAATTTGGGGTTTCATGAAAACCTGGAAAATCAACACTATCAGATGCAATTTTATACATGTCTGTATAATTTTATCTCAGAAAGGTAATCTATAGGAAGGGCCCAAATCATCTACTGCACTATACACCTGATAGAACTGGCAACTCTGTAATGGTGATACGTGCATTTAGGTCAGGCAAAGGAGCAGATCAAAGGGCACGTGAGGTCATTATATACCTGTATTTTGTGGCTCGTTTTTTATGGCATTAGCAGTGCTTTTGGCATAAAAGTACTCTCTGCTCAGACAAAAACCCAACCCTCTGTATTTTAACTAAAAGGTTTTCACAAGATACTATGTTATCTGATGTGATAAAAATATTTTACGATGCAGCCTTGGTATAACTTGGCTCTGTGGGAAACTGTACCTTTAAGAAGCTCTACTTCACGGTATAAAGTCTTATTTTAAGCTGCTTTTATAAACTTTATTTTGAATCTTGTCACAAACAAGATAGATTAATTTGAGGCATATATTAGGGCAAACGTGCCACTGCCAAAGGCTTCCTTTAATAACCATAGTATAGATCTGGGCACTGCCTCCCTCTTCACTAGAGCTCCGTGTGCACTCGTTTTCTCAATATATTCTCTAAAGCAGATTCTGGATACTGATAAAGTATCACCAGAAGTTGTCTTCTCAGGAAATAATTAACTCTATTTGCACAGCCGAAACAAAAAGTCTACTAGAAGGCAATGGAATTCATGAAACCAATTGCAAGTGTCAGCCCTGCCTATACATCCACGTCATCCGGAAAACACCAGAAGCAACTGAAATTCGTAGCTATACGTGGTGCAAAACTCCACAAAGGTATTTTATATTACATTTGCTTATGAAAACGAAGCTGCTAAGAACTGAGAAAAAAATTCTTGCGAGAACTGATCTGTAAATAAGCCATAGGTCAGCTAGTAAGCAGAAAGGAATGCATAAACTTGAGGGTTTCATTTCCTCCAAGTCTGTCTGCAAAGACACCCCCCCTTCTCTGTTCCCAGCATGAGAGGTATTAAATGACCCCTGATCCCACTCCTCTCTTTAGATTTTGAGGGAGCCAAATCTTTTACACTGACCTGCTCAGGCGGCTGCCCTCCCTGAAGGATCTTCCTGCTTCCCCAACAGCGTGATATACAACTGGAGAGCCTGAGTGTTGGAGGAAAGAAGGGCTAAGACGCATTCATACTTCCCTGTAAAATGCCCGAAGGGACAGCAACCCAGTCAAATAAATATACCAAGCAAAGTGCAATCTACCGCACAATAAGGGGCAGTAACCCTTGCTGCACTTGCAAGGAGGAGGGAATTGTCACTGTTGAAGCACAAGTGAACTTTGGAATACTTGACAGAGAGCAGGAAAATGAGTTAAACCTGTTCCAAGTCTGTTCCCAGCAGCTTTTCTCTCCCTTGAGTGAAGATTTTATTCTCTTTCATTGTCAATGAATGCTACCACTGAATAGTAACCTCTCTTCTCCTATTTCCCTAGAGAACCAAACTTCTCAAGGAATTTTAGCAGTGTTTGGCTTTACTCTTTCTGAATGGCAAAGCTTCCAAAACTGAAAATCAGAATAGAAAACTACTGTATTTAATCTGTGTGTTGAGAATTAATTAACTGCTGAAACACTTTTATAACTGGAACACTGTGTTATTGCAGCACCAAATAAGGAAGAAAAACTCTGCAAAGCAGAACTGCTGACAATTATCACTAGTTTAATTCTTACAATTTTAATTTATGTTGGTGGAGATCCATAAGGCCCCAATAGCCTCAAAAGGATTTCACACAAGCACGAGCTCGTACTTCATGATCAAACCACAAATTCAACACCATTGTTAGAAACTGATTATATTTTTAGCACAGCGAGGGAGCCAAAAAAAAAATTTTTATTGCCCAACAATAGCCCGTGAATAATTTGTAGTCCTGTAAGGCCTTCAGTGTGCAGATAAACTGAAAACAAACTTCTACTGTATTTTCCTACCTAAGATGTCAAAGGGACCGAATGCGATGCTGTGCTTTAAAAAAGCACAAGTACAAATCCTTGCATTTTCTAGCACAGTAGCTTATCACTGGTAATGCACAATCCAGCCTGGGGACAATCATCTAGACAATATATTCATAACTGGCAAAACGAAGGCGCAGGAAAGATGATGGAAAGTTTAGCAGCAAGAGCCCTGTGGAACTACAGAACGTAACAGCGGGAATTAAAAGCAGCAGCAGGCGGCCGCAGGGCTGCCCTGGGTTCATACAGCCTAGAGCTCCGCCTCGTTCTTGCCCACAACAGCTACGAAAACGGATCACGGCCTGCGACGTACCACAGGCGTTTGGAGCCCGACGCTCCGCCGCTTACTGGAGTTTAGAGGGAAACGCTACTTTGGCTCAGTGAGATACAGCACGCCTAAAGCACAAAGCGTCAGGAAGGCGGGGGACGCTTTTTGCCCATTTATCTTTCCGTTCCTCCCTTACTGCAGCTATTTAAAGGTTAAACGGGTATAATTAGCCGCAATAAAAGCACACCAAAAGTCCACAGCTTCACCCCTGCAGAAAACGCCACACCCCGAAAGGCCTGCGGACAGCTCACTAGAGAGGAATCTCCTCACACACCGCGCCGGGACGGTCGCTGAGGGACACCGCGGATGCGGCCTGCCGCCTCTTCAGGAGCGGCGCTGCCCCAAGAGAAGCCCCGTCTCTCAGAAGGGCCACCAGCCGCGACGCGGGGAGGACGCGGGAGCCGCCTCCACCTGCGGGCCGCCCTCCGAAGCAAGGGGCAGGCCCGGGTGCCTGAAAGGATCCCCGCCGCCTCTTCCCGCCCCTGACAGCCCCGGGCAGGAACCGGGGCAGCGGCGGCTGCGGGCGCACTACTTCTCTGTTGATGCCCATCAACGGCCTTTTCGCCGCGGAGGCTCTTGGGAGCTGTAGTTCGAGCGCCAAGCACCGCCTGGCAGCTCGGCGGGGAAGAAGGCGGCTTGGGACTACAACTCCCAGCATGCTCGACGCTGGGGCGGTGCCCAGCCTGTGGCGCCGGGGGGCTGCGCGATGGCGGCAGGTTTGTAATGGAAGGAGAGGGGTGGCGGTCAGACCGGAGCGTTGCTGCGGAAGCGGCCTGAGGAGCGGTGCCGGCGCTGTCGCCCCGCTACCCGTGAGGGGCCGCGGGTCGGAGCTGTCGCGGTGCAGGTGCCTTGGGGCCGGGGGAGCGGCGGGACCCGGCGGCGCGCTTGGGGCGTCCTCTGTGAGGGCGTCGCGGTGCCGCGGGCTGGGACAGTGTCCGCGGCCGCGGGCGAAGGGGGCCGCGGGGCCTGGCCCCTCGGCTGGGGGGACGAACGTGGCTGTGCTCGGGTCCCCCCCGGGCAACCTGGGGCTGCCTCCAGAGGGTCTCCAAAAGGTGACGGGAAGAATAGCGTGTGAACCCTGTGGGCTTGAATTTGCCTATGCAGGAATCTGTGCCTCGCTGGGAACTTCCAGTGCCGTCTCGAAACAGAAGGCAGTTGAAAAACATTTTTCTAAGGGGATTTCGCTGTTTCTCCTAGTCACAGTTTCAGGCTTTGGTTGAAAGCGTAAGCCCTTTTACAGTGGGAAAAATAAGCGAGAGCCGGCATGAACTGATCTCTTGGGAACAGGGAAGCTTTAAGGAGTTACTTCCTGATCGGCAGGACTGTTGAGTGGGTGCTGTGCTCGTCTGTCCCTTGTTCCCTGGCCCCTTCTTTCTCTCTATTCCCCGTGGCACACCATATGCACAGGCAGAAAGTTAATTGCCCTGGGACTAGTTTGAGCAGCAGGGCTGAGTGGTCAGGCTTTTGCTTGCCACTTTGTCATCGGCAGCAGTTCTCTTTTGTTTCCTAAGTGAGGAAACCACTCTGGGTCTCCTACCTACCTGAATTCATTCGTGTTTTATGACACGTACAGGAATTTGGTTATCACTGAAACTTTTGCAGTCTTCAAACTTTTTTTTGGGGGGGTGGATTTAAAAAAAGAAGCTGGTTGGAAGGAAGAAGCTAACAGGCAGCATGGTTGTAGAGTTTCCATGAGAAACTAAGGAAGAGATGAAAATGATAAGTGCTGCATTGAAATATGTGCAGTAAAATGTTTGTATTTAGATGGACATATTTGAAAGTTTGCATTAATATGAAGGTCCTGTGAGGGAAGTCTCTCTTTCAACTCGTCAAATCGCCTCTCTTCTTTTGTTGCAGGCACTTCAAAAAAATTCTGAATTTCTCTCTGTACTACTGAAGAGAATATTATACATAGCTTTATAATATTTGAGATAACATTAACTGTTATCTCAAATAAATAATAATTAAATTGTTTATCAAATAAATAATAAGATTAAAAGTTGGATTATGTTGACTTCCTGCACAGAAAGTGTTTGTTACTAGTTGTCCAAATTATTTCTGTTGCCCAGGGAAAAGCAGATTGTGACTTATTTTTATAAATACACTAGGTTGGTTATAAGAGAGTAACTTTCTTTTACTGTGAATCTGTTACTGTAGATTTCTTATTTTGTTTATCTGCTTAATTTCTAGGTGCTAGAAATAGGTAACCATCCATACCAAATACCTGGAGCTTTGAAAGTTTTACTGTCCTAACACTACATAACATAATATTGTTATGTTAATGATATGTCAGCAAATAAATTGGAATACAATTTACAAGATGCCAACTGTTGAAGATCCGAGTAGTGAACAAAACTTCATTGCACATTGGATGTCTGATAGTTCCCGTGCAGGAGTCTTATTAGATCCTAGTTTTACCGGTTTGAAAATCAACAAAGAAAATCTGTTATCTGGACCCGAAAACATCACTGCTTTCCCTGCTGAAGTGTTGCATATTTCGGACAGCTGTTCTGTAAGTGATGACTCCTTGCGTGAAGAAGAGTCTGGCAGCTCTTGTACGCTTCAGCAGTATACCACTGAAACATCTTTTCCAGCAGCAGCATATAACGTAGAAGCCTCTAAAACAGACTTTGTCCGTGGTGAAGTGGATGGTCAGAATAAATCCGATCACAGCGATCCACTCTTACAAAAGCTTGAACAGGTAAAAGTTCTAGAATTCCTTGACGTACATCAATTAAGATTTATTTTGTTTCTGCATATGATTTTTCATACCTGGAAGTAAGCAAACTCTTTACAACATAGAGAACACAGCAAGCTAAAAGAACAAGTCCTAAGTCACAGTTATGCATGCATAAAAATTGGTGTCCTCCTCATGATGTGCAGTTATTGAGAGTCTAACTTCTGTTGTTTCCAGCTGGCACAGGTTCCAGTTTAAAATGAAATTGCATTCAGTGGCAGTGTACTTGTTCTCAAAATCTTTTTACCTGGAAAGGTGCACACAGTGTTACAATGTTCTGTTGTTTCTTCACTTGAAGCTGTGGAAACGGGGTGCTGGTCAGTACGGTGGTAGTGCTTCACCACAGATACTCACAACATGGTGAAGTTGTATGTTCTTGTATCTATAGCAACATCTTCTGTTAGTTCCCAAAGTAGCTATGTACACCTATGTACCTGTCTCTGTTTAGATGAAGAGAGATGTTAGTGTTGAATGTGATGAAGTATCCATGACATTGGGACAAAAAGGCCTAGAATTACAGCGCTGTGGTGTTATTGTTTTTTTCCAACGCAAGCACGTCAGTTAATCCACTGTAACTGGCTATACATTCACTCGTAGCTCTTCCCAATTGCTAAATATAAATTGTGTTAGCTGTAAGTGTTCATAGGCACTTCAGTAGGTCTTGCTGTTAAGGACTGAGAACTCACCTCCTTGTCCACTCTGCTAGCAGCTGCCTCAGCACAAATCCCTATGTCTCTTCACTCAGGTGGGGTGTGTGAGGATGTGTGTGTGTGTGTGTGAGTCTCTAAAGCAGAATTCCACAACTTATGTGGTGCTATAAAAGTTTTCTCCTCTATTTACATGACAGGAAAATATTTATTCACTTTTTCAGTATTGTCAGCAGTATCAAACAGTGGCTAAATGACAGATATTAGCTGGTTTAACAGTATCTTAAGAGGAATTGTTAAGTCTCCTATCTTAGAAAGTTATTGACAATCTAATATATATATATAAAAATCTGATTCTTGCAGTGACAAATGTAGTTTTGGATATACAAGATTTCAGTTTGGTTTTCTGAGGATATTATCAGAACAGGTATGATTTCTTTAATAAATTAAGTGAAGGGGTTGGAGATAAGACTTAGGTGATCTTTGGATCTTGATCATTAGCTCACAGCTTCTACTTGGATAGTGCCTTTCTTCTGTTTTCACTGGAATTTTAAGGGACTACAAGGAGAATTCAAGGGAAATTTTTCTTACCTGTTGGATGATAGATGTGGTCCAATTGTTGATCTATGGAAGGATTTCATCAGGCCTCCTGTCTTTCCTTTGAAGGAGCTGGAACTAGCACATATGTCTGTGTTGGAAGTATAGAGATGGGCATGGAGGCCCACCACCCATTGCTGTGGTTTGGTAGGGTACAGAATGCTCTGCCTTCATGGGGCCCTCAAGGCTGGTCTTGAGGCAGGGCCAGGGACCCTGCTACACAAGAAAATGAAGACTGGATTACTGAATTTAATCAGTATTTTAATTCCTTTTTTTCAGGCAGCTTCATGAGTCTTAATGTTTTCCGATGTTCTTTTTCCCCTTTCTTGGTCCTTTGTATCAGTACTGTTCACTGTAACTGAGATCTTGGAGAGAAAAACAAAAACCCCATGCTTTTTCTAAAGCTTTGGTTATTATGAAGTATTTCACATTTTAATAAAAACATGGCATAGTAGAAGTTAATGTTAAAAGAGCAGAATTTGAATGTTTTTCCCATGCAGTAGAAATGAGCATTCTGATTCCTATTGTTTGCAGATTGGTCAATTAAAGACTAGTGGAATTGTTAATTGGGCAAACTGGAATTAGCATGTGCATTCATAGATAGAAAAAACTGAAAATTTTGTTTAGCGTATCATTTCATATTCTTAATTTCCTTCATGTTATGCTTACCTAATGGAACATCTTTAAAACAAGAAACACCCTTTGTCTTCATGACACTAATCCTTAGGTACATTCTAAGTAAACCTAGCCTCTAATACATTTATTTTTTTTTTGTTTAAAAAGCTGAAGGAATTGCAACAGCAGAAACAGGAACAGCTAAAGAAACAACAGATGGAGCAACTTCAAAGGCTAATGGAAGAGCAGCAGAAGCTACTTAGCATGGTATCTGGCCAGACAGCAGTTCTTGGTAAGCTGAGAAAGCAAGCACGTCACGTACTTTGAGTAAACTGAAGAATTTGATTTCATTTTCCAGTTAAAATCTGAAAGTGTATTCAGTGTTTTTCTTCTTGATTAGTCAAAGAGAAATGCTGCATCGCTTCAGTGCCTGAAAGTTGAGTGCTACTGTAGAAGGAACACTGGTTTTATAGAAGGAATATCCTGTTTTTATAAAAGGCCAACTGTAATTGTAACTTGATCAATATGCGCTATGATGGGAGCCCTTGTTTCGAAGAACATATTTTAAATATAAAAGACAGTGTAAAACAAACAGTTGCTTTCCTTTCTGATTAGCTGTTTCTCACAATACTTTTGATTGCTTTAAGCTATCACTTTATCCAGTCGAAGTGGTCCCTCTTTGTTTGTGCTCACACAGCACAAATTTGTTCAGGTGATGAACTGAACTAGACTAAGGAGCTGATCTGTATTGAAAAACAAATACTTGTAACCTGTATCGCGTTTCCAGTCTCGTTTGCTGTGTGCAAAGGGAGGGGACAGTGCTGAGCGGAAAAAAGCTTGTAGAGTTGAGCGGGGATGTTTTCTCCTGTTGGCAGTTATTAGTCCAGCCTGGCTTAAATTATCTTTCTTTCCCTCTGCTTACCTGAGAAAATGAATTTAGGGCTTAGCTTTAGGAGAATTAAATCCAGATTATCACTTATTCTTGATCAGTAATGTAAGGATGGAGGCTGGGTGATCAGTCTTGCCATCCAGTGCCATTTCTTTTCTCAGGTGGAACAGTTGTAATACAAATACAATGACACAGCCATTTTTTTTTCTTTTAATTTTAAGGCTATACTTTAATGGCTGAACGTCAAACGCTAAGACCTGGGCATTCAGCAGGCTTAACAACATACCAATTGCCATCATCTGGGTATCAGAATATCTTTGAAGACAGAGCTTATGCTCCAATTGTTTCTTCACATACACAAGACAGCAATTTTTTACAAAAGTTAAACAACAAAGAATGCACCTCATCTTTGAAGAACAGTCTGTCAGGAGTGTCTGCCTGTGAGAAACAAGGTGTGGGTGTGCCTCTGAAAATGCAGAATTGTTTGAAAAATGAGGAAGACGCATATATTACTGGTTAGTCATTTATAGAAAGATAACCTGGTGTGTGGTGGGTTTTTTTTCCCTTGTAGTTACTGAGTGTAATTTTCTACTACTTATTGCGAAGATTTTATACAAGTGTTGGTTGGCTTCATTTGTTGGTTGGTTTACTGACAGCTTACAGACCTCAGAGCATTCCTCTTGCTGTCCATGTGAGGTTTTTGTTAAAAGCAGCATGAGGAAAAAATCAAGTTCTTCTGTCTGTATGAAATGCTTGTCTGTTTTAGGAAAAAAAAAATATAATCTTTACTGCTAAAGCTTATATACGATAAAGACTGGGAAAATACCAAATAATGACAGATATTGAATAGCTGAAGTGTTTGGGCTGAACCGTACCCACATTTTCATGTGACAAATGGAAGATAACAATCTATCCAGGGATACAGAATGTCTTCAGACCAGCTCTATTGTGAGGATTAGTAAGTGAACTGGAATTTGGAGTCAAGATGGGCTGACAAAGAGATCCCATCATATGACTAAAAATTATTTGTACATCAGAAGCAATGCACTGGAGTTCTTTATCTTTCCTCCTCTTCTCAGTTTTACCATTGGCACCAGCATGACTACTATGCTGCTATGACTGGAATAGTGGTTTTGGTTTCAATCTAGCAATTTAATAGGATTGCTGAAAATCTGTAGAGGTTTTGGGGAAAAGGTATGAGATTGCATATCATCATACTTCATACCAGCTTTAAAGCTTTTAATCAGAGGGATTGGTCTAAGAGGATGTGAAAGGATAAATTGATCTTAATTTATACCTATGTACATGGGAAACAGAAACTTGATAAGAGAGCTCTTCAGTACAGCAGAAATCCAGATTTGTTCAGTTATTTTGTTTCTAAGCCATAAATTAACAATAGCAGAGATGATGAACAATAGAATGGGTTATTTAAGGTCTGTGGAAAATTTTAATACATAATTGGATGTTCCTTTAAAAAGAGAGCTCAAATTCAAATAATAATTAATTTGGGGAAATCTTAGGATTATTTTATGTAGCAATTCAGACTACAGCTCCCTTCTGGTTTTAATCTGACTTGAATGCTGCTTAAAGTATGAGCTGAAAACTGATTTGTTGTTGGGGAGGAAAAAAAATTTCTATTAATTTCATAGGAAAAAACATGTGGTGTCCAGAAAAAAAGATGGAAATATTAATGGAGAGTGAAGATCATCACATTGATCCTTTATGCGTGGAAAGTGCAGATCTCCCTGAAAATTCCAGCGGAGGAAAACATTTGTGGACTAATACAGAGGAAAGGTAATTCAGACCATTATTATGCAGTTTTAATCAAATAGATAACATGAATTTGGTTGAATTCTGAGTCCTGATTGAAAGAGTCTTATATTCTCAATTTGTATAGCTTTCTCAACCGAGGATTCCATGTTGCCAGGTACTGTGGAGACCTGTAGTAAGAGAGGCTCTGGCTTGAAATTGTTAATGCTGTGAAAGATGTGATGCTGTGTATTGGCTGAAGAGGTGTGTGCAGCCTGGGGTAATGATAGTTTAGCAGCACGTTTTAGCATAGGCTTAGTATATGAGCAGTTGTAATTACTGTTCCCAGTTTGATTTATTACAACTTCCTATCCACTGTTACTTGGCGAAAGTAGTAATGTGAAGGAGGAGTGTAAGGCTGTGACTTTTTAGTTTATTACCAGGAGTTATGTTTGTTTAAACATCTGTATATGGCTAAGAAGTAATAGCTTCTGCCACAAGCAGTATTTTCTCATGTATGGTAAAAGCTTTGTTTATGGAGTTGTTGGAATAGAAGTAGTGGTTGGTGTTGTTTTAAAGCCCTGCCTTGTCTGCTGGGTCATCACAAAGAGAAGAAATTTTTGTTCCGGGCTGTGGTGGGTTGAGCCCAGCCAGCAACTAAGCACCCACCCAGTCGCTTGCTGACTCTGTCCCTCAGAGCGGAATGGGAGAGGGTATCAGAGGAGCACACTTGAGAAAACTTGTGGGTTGAGATAAAAGCACTTTAATAAGTAAAGGAAAGGGGGGGGGGAACCCAAGTGATGCAAAGGCTGTCACTCTCCACCTCCCACAAGGAGACCAATGCCTACTTGGTCTCTGAGCAACAGCTACTTTTGGATGACCAAGTCCCCAGTTTTTACTGCTGAACATGATGTGATATGGCATGGAATATCCCTTTGGTCAATTCGGGTCAGCTGTACTGGCTTGTCCCCTCTCAGCCTCTTGCCCACCCCCAGCCTGCTTGCTGGGGCAGGGGGAGCAGCATGAAAAACCAAAGAAAGCTTTGATGCTGTGCAGGCACTGTTCAGTAATAGCTAAAACATTGGTGTGTTATCAACAGTGTTGTAGTCACAAATTCAAAACACAATACCGCATGGACTGCTACAAAGAAAGTTCACTCCATCCCAGCCAGACCGAGTACGCGGCTGTGAAGGAGTAGTATCAAAGGGGGAGATAAGGAACACAATCTCAGTAGCATTACTGAGTGGGAAGGTGATACTGTAGAAATTGGCAGTATGACTAAAATAAGAATGAAAGTTTGGTGGTCTGGGCAGAAGAAAGGATCACTGAGAAAAGCAATGAAAGAAGAAACAGCAAAATTAAGCATACAGTATCTTTTAGATATGTATATTAACTGTAGCAGGGATTTGATAAACCATTTCTCAAAAGATAAACAGCTAGTGTTATAATGCATTTCTCAGATTCACTTTGACACTTAATGACCAAAGTACCTCATAATTTGTCATCTTTTATGTAATTGCACCTTAGGTCTTTGAATAGCAGTGATGTTAAACACAGTTATAGAAATGCAAGACTTGAATTTTTTTTTTTTTTTTTTTTTAATTACACTAGACCTATTAAAGCTGCGATTCAGGAGAAGAAACAGACATTTGAAGAATTCCTGGAAGAACAGATACAACTAGAAGAGCAGCGTCTGGAGCAAAACCAGAAGCTACAGGTTAGTTATTTTTTTTAACTTTATTGTTCTTTATATATTGTGCCAAGATGTGATAGGTGCTTTAAAAATGTGCAAGGAAGATGCTAGCATCAAAAGCTAACACTGAATGCAATATTCACATTTTTAAAAATAAAACAATAAGCCCCAAATATTTCACTTGTTTAAGATGTCTTTAGAAATCCAGTGGAAATGTACTGTATAAATTCCTACTCATATGTGGGGTTTATTTGAAGAAATCTTCAAACTGTGTAAGGGGCTTTTTAATATTTTGTGTTTTACTTTTCCTTACCCCTTTTCAGGAGACAAATGGATCAGCCATTCAAAAACCAGTGACCAAACGACCCTTCCTGAAAAGAGGAGAAGGCTTAACAAGATTCACTAATGCCAAATCTAAAATTACAAAACTTGGAGAAAACACCCCAAAACTTCAACACAGGGCTTCAGATGACAGAAATGTTATTAAAGTGGACAGATCACAAATACAGAAGAAAACTATGCCTCCTGGCAAAGAACTATTTTCTGAGAACTCTTTTGCACCATGTAAAAAATATAACCACCCTGATAAAGCAAAACATTGCCCTATTCAGAAGAACCTGGTACTCAGGAATCACAATGGAAAAAATATCTCGCTGTTAGAAACAAGAATGCAACCAGGAAAAAATCATGATGGAGAGATGAGAGATTCTTTCCCAGCAGAAGTTAACAACAAAATGGAGAATAAAGAGAACGTAGTAGAATTTGCTAAGCCTAACACTGGCAAAATTGGAAACAAATTACCTGGCACAGAAAAGCCTCGGTTGTCTCATGAGTTGGTTGGTGCCTTTTCTAATTCTAAATGTCCTATAGGTCACCCTGTAAAAGATCCAGAACTGTCTTTTGAAGTTTCATTTCAGAATAAGCTGGAAAACTGGGAAAAAGAAAAAGAAAAAGAGAATCTAGAATTAGATGAATTCTTGTTTCTAGAACAAGCTGCAGATGAAATATCTTTCTCAAGTAATTCCTCATTTGTGCAAAGGATCTTAGATCGAGATCAGCAAACTTTAAAAGGCCGTAGAATGTCTTCTACCCCTATCAAGGCAAAACAGCAGCAAGTAAAGGCGCTGGCTGTTGAACTTATAAATAAGAAAAATAAAAAGGCAGACTGTATGACACAGGGAAATAAAAATGATAGAGCAGTTACGCATACAGTCTCAAATTCAGGAACAGCCTTTAGAATGAAGGATCCATTGAATAAAATGGACAGCGTAATATTTTCATCTTCTTCCATGACGGCAGCTCCTGTTTTAAAAAGTAATCAGTGGATTGTAAATGAAGATAAGGGTGAGGGCAGTGATGATACTACTACAGATTCTGAGAGTGACTTTGAGACCACATTGAAGCATGAAAATGAAGATGCTAAGACATCCTTTGTGAGCCATAGAGAAAGTGATCCAGAATTTTTTGACTATGGAGGTTCTGTTACAGACATCAGCAAAGAAGGCAAAAATGGAGATGCTGACCTTGGCTTGTCAGACAAAGATTGCAGTGCACTGTCAAAGGAAAAGATAAGAAAAGCTTTAGACCATCAGAGAAGCATGTCTTGTATAAGTAGGAGTAAGTTTGAGTTTGATGATGAAAGAACATGGAGTGATCTTGACGAAAATTATGTTAACAGTGATTTACCTGAAAAATATACTAAAATACCTTTACAGACAGACTTTTCCAGTAAGAATGATACAACTGTCCCAGATAAAGCAATAAAGAGAAAAGTTGCCTCAAAGAGGGGAGATGAAATGTCCAAAGAGTCTGCAGTGGACAGTGATTCAAATGGACCTCCTGTGTCAAACCTGATGATGAAACTGTTTCCTTCACTGAAACCGAAACAGAAGGCTGGCTGTCATTCAGAGCACGAAATCAAATCAAATGTGGAACAGGAGCCAGGAGGTGAGAGAAAAGCAATTGGTAGGAACTGTTGAAGAAGACACATTTGCAAATCTTTCCTTCTAAGACTTAAGCTGCAACCTGACGTTACACCAAAGGGTGTAAGTATAGACTTCTGCTGCAGGGAATGGCCCTATTCTCACCTTTCGTCTCCTCTCCTGGTTGCAAGTCTGATGTCAGATCTAACAGTTATGCAGCTTGCAGTATGAGATGCTTGATCACTGTTTCCAAATCAAGGAAAGTGTCAAAGCCATGCCAAAAACGAAGTGGTACCTCTCTTTCCAGTGGCAGTGTGCATTTACGCTACAGTAGGGTAATGCTATGCACTGTTAGGTTAGCTGGTTGCTCCTATAAAATATAAGGAGGTGGCAGCCCCTTTCCTTATTTTCTGACAGTAGTATAGTATCTAGAGAATTCACATGGAATACGGGAAACATGGATTCCTTTTTCTTTGTTGCCCAAGTTGATTTCAACCATATGGTTACAGTCTGGGGAAGGACTGCCTCTAAAAGCTCCTGTTGAAGCTAGTGCATTTATGTGAGATCATTAAAAATGCAGTTGTTCAGTGAAAGCATGATGGTATAGCCTAGCATTTAAATCTCTTCTCTGTAAGGTGGTGAGATCTTAGTTTCAAACTCTGCTCCAATGAATGTTCAGGATTTTGTTTAGGATTTTATGAGAAGTTCATGTACAAGCTGCTACATCTGCTTATTGTTTTGTGGAGAACTGATTTTGTAGGGTTGTCTAAAGATGCCTGCTAGATGTTGTTTGCAGGAAGAGGGGTAGGGTTTTTTTACTGAATCTTAGCATTTAAGGGTGAATGAGGCAACTACCTACCCTGCAACATCAGTATTTAGGCTCTTCTCTTGCATACTCAGAAGCAGACTAGTAAAACCCTGGGAGTGTTAAGTAGTGACTGAACAGGAAACTGGGATGGCAAAAAAGCCCACAAATCCTATTATCAGCCTTTGCAATAGGTTTCACATCAGTGATGGGTGTGAGCAAACTTTGTCGTGAATAAAACTTGGAAAAACTTACAACCATAAACTTTCCTGTTTGACGTTTGGCCCGTAGACCTTCATTTATTTTCTCCAGCTTGATGTGAAGCCCTTCACATTCCAATTCCTAATATATATTTAGTTCTACAAAGATGATAGATACACTCAATATTTGAGGTACTTGAGTAAATAGCACAGAGTGCTTTAAAATGTCACTTCTGTGTTATTTGAATAGTAGAAATTTTTTGCAATACTACTACTATCTCTAAAATGGTATCACTTGATTTTTTTTTTTATTTTTTTTTTTTTCCTAACTGTTGTGTGATAGTCGTTTACATCAGTCTTATGGATGCTGCTTAGATAACTTGCATCTGGCTGTTCTCTGGTAGGAAACACTGTTCCATCCCAGGTACTGAGGGAGAGACTCGCTGAACTGGAAGCTGAAATAGAGAGATTCAGAGCTGAAAACACAACTCTAACTAAACTCCGTGAAGAAAGAGAGCATGCCTTGGCAAATATCAGGTAATTATTAATTGAAACATTTTGGTGCATTCATTTACATGGTATGTGCCAGACTATCATAATGTCCAGTTACCAACAGCACAGATAAACAATTGGTGTGTTTCAGTTACAGTGGAGACGGAGGTCAAGAAACTGGTTGTTGCTCTATGTATATATTAAACTGTAATTATTACTCGCATACAAATTATAATACTAAGAACCCCTGCTAGTTTAATGTGATATCCTTAAAGGCTATACTTGGGAGAATTTATATACTTTTGTTTTGAGTGATAACACATCCCTTAGTTGGTCTTGCAAAACTGATCTTTGTGCTAACGTGACTGATGCTCTTCCTTTGGATTGAATGTTTGTCTGTACAAACTGAGAATATTTTCATTTGAACTGGGGGATTTATAAGTGACAGAATAATTATCCCTGGTGACTTAAATGTGGCACACCTTTTCCTACCAAGGTCACTTTTGTTTTGTTTGGAAACAGCACCGTGTTGTTGGCTAATGTTTAATTTGTGACCTCCTGCTGTTAGCAGATTCTTTTCCCTGGTGCTTTTGGGCGAATGGTGTTCTACTGCTCTGAAAAATGTTGCAAGATTTTAGCCAAAGCTTTGTTAAATTCAGGATAACTTTTGTGACTAGAAGATATAAAAATAGAAATTGTTGGACTTCAAACACTAGCTGTGTGACAATTCTTACTCCTTAAGTATTACTGTTTATAGGTAAGTCTTCCTGGGGGTAACAGATGCTGGATTGGAATCAATGACCACAAAGTTCAGAGTCTTCATTTTCTTCCTTAAAATCCAGATTTGAAGTACTTTGGGGCTAAACCAACAACTTTGTTTCATAATTATAGGAAAGAAATTGCAGACTTTCAACGGCAGAAAGCCCAAGAACTGGCTGAAATAGAAGAATATAAAAAAAAGGAAATGAAAAAACTGCAAAAGGAGCGTAAAGTTTTTGAAAAGTATACCACAGAAGCTAGAGCAATTCCAGATAAAAAAGAACGTGATGAAATTCAGGTATAAAAATACATTATTCTTCTAGTCCACACAGGAACACTTACATTCATTTAAAGGCAGTTGAGAACTAAATTCTAACTTAATTGCAAGGTTGCAAGTGATTTCAAGATGGGAACTGTTAGTAGACATGGCCTAATTGAGGAAGGAACTACAGTCTTCACAATGTTGTTTGGTTTTAAGGCAAAAACCCTGATGAGCAAATCTTTTTGTCACGTTTCCATACTAAAAACTGCTCATGACTATGGCAGAATCATCTTCAACTTTAACACAAAATTACTGTAGTTAAGTTGTAAGTTTTTGTTCATGGTAGTGGATCAAAATGCAAACTAGGACTGTACTTGAGTTTTATTCTGTCTATAACTGTTGTACAGTAAATGTAGTAATCTTCTACAATTTTCAGAGTTACGTTTTGTTATTACTTACTTGTAGGTCTTTAGGTATCAGAGATGTAAAAAACAAGATCTGTTTGTTCCTTCATTATCAGGATGTATGGTACATGAGGTGTACAAACAAGCTGTATTAAATATCAGATGTGGATTTCCCTCCTCCTTCCCTACAAATTTTCCTTACATAACTTCAACACATTGAAGTAACATTTGCTAAACCGGCAAGGCAGATCCACATGCATTTTATGTGATTGTGTCCTCCCTGTTTTCCTGTGCCAAGATTTTTGAAGATTCCTCTCAAGGGTAGCCTAAAAATTTCATGTTTCTGTCTCAAGTGTATTTGTGGCCAGTCTATGAAGTGTAAAGGATGCCAAAAGGGCAATAAAGACACTTCCTGTGATTGAATTGAGCTTATAAAGTTGGTAGTCTAAAGTAAATAATATCTCTTTCAGGAAGAAAACATCTACCTTTCACCCTCTGTCCCGTTAAGCTGATCTTTTTTTTTTTTTTTCTTTTTTTTTTTTTTGCCACTCTTGTGCTTTTTTTGTGTGTTTGTATTTCTATAAGAACATTACAGTCTTTCAATATATTAAAAAATGAACGCTCTTTAATTTATAAACATGCATTTTTCTAAGGCTTTAAAACAGCAGATTGCAGAGTTACAGGAAGATTTAAAACGAAAAGAGGCAAAATGGTCAACCACCTATCGACGCCTGAAAGATCAAATAGAAGCTTTGGTAAATGAGAATATGGAGCTAAAAGAGGAAGTCAAAATTATGGAGAGGTTTCGTCTAGAAGCCTGGAAGAAAGTAGAAGCTGCTGGAAGCAAGAGGAAAATAGAAAATTCTGGGATGACTCTAAAAAGAGCAGAATCTGTAAGTTATTAATCTTGGTGCTTTAAATTCATCTGTGTGAATACTCTTGAGTTTTGGGTCACAAACTTGGAATCCAATAGCTATAAATTAGATGTTTACTTTTAATTTACTAATCTTGGGACTCCACTAGTGGTGACAGACACAGGATTTTGTTAATGTCACATTCTCTCCAAATGTGAATGTTCACAATGTGCAGCATCCATTCTGTTGAGGAACTCTTCTTAGAAATTCAAAATGAAGCGATTATAAGTGAAAAATCATAGATGGGATCTAACCTGTGAACCTCTGCACCTTAAGGGTCAGCCAGGCAAACAAAGCAGTTCACCATTGTCTAAAGTAGTTATATTTAGTTTTGAAACAGAAACTATTATTCTAGATTGCTTGCACCAAATGAACATTCTGCAGTTGTTGGTAGCGAGGCAGCAGATAGTTCCAAAGGAGAGCTTGGGCTACATCGCACAAGCCCTTCTATTGACTAAATCTCAAAAACATATAATTTCTGCAGAAAGCTTCCAGTAAATTTCATGTCACATGGTGTATAAATTTTGTTGCTGCTGTATGAACAGTTATTCATAAACGTCATGTAAACCACAAATAACTTTCTTTCTTTTAGTGTCTACCAAATAGAGGCCCAAAAAGTCAAACTGCATCTCTGCTTCTTCCAGTACAGAAGTGCAGCAAGATAAATGGCAAAAGTTATTCACAGGCAAAAGGTATAAATCTGTGTCTGATCAGAGAATTCTGTTAACTCTTTAAAAGAAAATTAATGTGGATTTTTGCTTTTATTAAAAAGAGTGCACCACCACCTCAAAAGTAGGTAGATAATAGTTGTAATGGATTCAAGTGTATGAATAAATACCTCGCAGGGTAAGATGCTGGAGAAAGCGGTGATGAGACCATTCTCGGGGCGAAAATGCTTCTGGTCACAGTTGGTGATCTGGCGCACACCAGGAGCTGTGTTCTGTAATCCAAATTGGCATTCATCACTGGTGTTCTGCAAGGTGCGGATGTTGATTAGAGGACTATGTTGATAGCATCAGAACTGCTGTGTCTCTTCAGAACCTTCTGTTATCCGGATCTGTAATCCTATGGGCAATGCCGTAGCAGGTGTTCCTTCCGCACAGTTAGGAGCAAATGCTGTTGGCAGCTATACCCCAGTGTAGCTGTAACTGGAGGGTACTTTTTTGACACCTCCAACAGCTCAAGCAACCATCATGTTACCTGTTAGAAGAGTATTGAAGCCCTTGCCAGTTTTATTTTGGTAATCTTTCTGGCGTGCTAGGAGAGACATGGGAAAAGTCTGCCAATCAGTTCCTGTTAAAAGGTTACATTCATCTTCCTTTATTCGTTGTAAGGCATAACTAAAAATGTTGTCTAGATCCCTAAGGGAAAAAAAAAAAAATCCTTTGTAAATCTACAGAAATGAAATAGGAGCGAAAGTGCAAGTATTATGCCTGTTGCAATGATTCTTCAGTTGTAGCTTCTTGCTGACACACGAAGCAACGACATACCTGAGGGAGCTGGCTTATGCTGATTCTTTTCATAAATATACTGCTTTCAGTTTCTACTGTGCTTAAATGTAGCTGTCTTGTACAACTTGACCTCACATATAATTATGATTGTAATACTTAAACTGCACTTTAATTTTACTGTCCAAATTAACTTTATTACATGTATCTGAGTAGGAAAGCTTTCTAGAACACCTGCATCGGCACCTGCTAATGACAGAAGCGCCTCTGAGACAATGACGGCAGTAGAAGATTCATCTAGGACTTTTATGGTAGTAAGTCCTGAATCTTGATTTGATTTTTAAGGGGGAGGAAAAAGCCTAAAATAAAACAATAGTTACTTGTACTTAAATGAGTATCTGGAGGGTGACTAGTGAAGCTGTTGACTCACCTTCTTATGTTCTTCAACTGCAATTCTATTGTCATACCAGAAAATGGCTACGTAGTAGTCAATGCAGAGTGTTTTACCTGTGTCTAGTAGTCGCAACATTCTTTGACTGAGGAAATAAAACAAAATAATAATATCCTGCCCCCTTGAATTTGGCAAAATGTTTTACCTTTTGAGAGAGGGGAAAAAGATGGATGTTTATATGTTCCATGTAGGGCAACTGTGCAAGAATCTTGTAAACAGTTGAATTAATTCTTACCTTAATTGCTGTAGGTAGCATTCAGGTTTTATGAAACTTCATCAGCTGTTTCATACCTTGATATGGATGACTTAAGGCAGTTGAGCACCATGTGACAACACACCACTGAATTCCACTTTAGCCCAGACTACAGCTGACCCCAGACAAGCAGTTACTGCTGAGCCTCAGTCTGACTTACCACCTGAATTATACTAGGAGTTGTGTAAAACCCAGATTGCGTTTATGCCTTCCTATACTTGTCTTCCTCCACTGATGGTCCTTGTTCCCCAAAATAACTGTCAGCCTAGGGAAAAAACATGTATAAAGACAAAGCTCAATCTGAGTTTATGCTTAGATTATTGTTGTTTCAGGACACCTCTCCTAATGAAGCTCATGTGTCGCTACCACCTGGACCTGCATATACAGACAGTGAAGAGATACAGAGAGAAACCACTTATCCTGACGGAAAGGTAAAATGAGAGCTCGGCACTCTGAAATTCCACCAGACAACTGTTGTGAAACAGGAATGAGATGTGAGTGTGATGGCTCAATACTGACCTCTCTGTGATGTATTCATTAGGTTGAAAAGGTTTTGAAAAATGGCTGTCATCTCATATTTTTCCCCAATGGGACATGGAAAAAAGTGGATTCTGATGGGAAGACTGTAACGATAACCTTCTTCAATGGGGATGTGAAGCAGGTTATGCCTGATCAAACAGTGGTATGTATCCTACATCTTCTGCATTTTTCCGTAAATACTTACTTATGCACACATGTATACACACACACACACAAAAGATTTCTCGCCAGTTATGTTAAATCTTAACTGTTTTCTGCAGATTTATTATTACGCTGATGCTAAGACTACACATACTACATACTCTGATGGCTTAGAGGTCTTGCATTTTTCAAATGGACAAATAGGTAAAGAACTCATCCAACCGAACCCACCCTCAAAATTGCTGCCCATATATATACCCCCCTATTTATATAATAAGCACATTGCCTCAAAATTCATTTCAGAGAAGCATTATCCTGATGGCAAGAAAGAAATTACTTTCCCTGATCAAACTATCAAAAACTTATTTACGGATGGGCAAGAAGAAAGCATCTTTCCAGATGGTACTATTGTTCGTATTCAGCGGTAAGCTTTACCTTTTCAGGTACCCTAGCCTGTTGATGGGAGAGTAGCAGCTAGGGCTCACTGACAGAGGCAGCATATGGTGACACCTCTATTTCTAGAAGTTTACATTTGAATATACTATACTGTGAACATGTATTGACTATTTGAAATTTTGATTTGGTTTTTTTTTGTAGCTTGGAGGAGACATAAAGACTGAATGCCTGTGTGTATTTATATCTCTCATACCCTAACCTGAGAGATTTTTCAGGTTTGTGTGTAACTTTAGAGAACACGTGAGAACGTAGTTGGTGTGGCAAGCAGGTCTGACATCCAAACTGATAGTGCTCAAAACGTTAAGTTTTAAACTTTTCTTGGACTGTTGCAGCAATAGATTTAGTGTAGAGGCTCTCAAGAATAAAGAAGTTATGTCAGTTTTGCAGAAACAGGTTTTTGAGTACCAGCCGGCTGGGATGGTATTTAACAAAACAGGCCTTTCACAAATACTGTGGTTTATTAAGTTCTTCCTTCATTTAGGCTTGCACATTTAATGTTTGTTCTGAGATTAAGCTTAAGCCTATGTACAGTCCTTACAATGTTGTTGTTTGTTTGTTTTAAATACTTATATACATTTATTTAATGCAGAGATGGAAGCAAAACTATAGAGTTCAATAATGGCCAGAGAGAACTACACACCTCACAGTTCAAGAGGCGGGAGTATCCAGATGGTACTGTCAAGACTGTGTACGTGAATGGACAGCAGGAAACAAAGTATGTCTCTGGGAGAGTAAGAGTGAAGGACAAGGATGGCAATATTATCATGGACACTAAGTTGTAATGTCACAACTGTTGGAAGCGTTAGCACATCAGCAAAAATAATGTACATTTCTGTAATCAAGAAGAGAAACCCCTTTAAGCTTGTTGTGTATATATTGTTTATAGGTTTTCTGAAATAAATTTTTCAGTGGGTGTTACTACATCAGAGCTTTTTCTAATTTTTTTCCCCATTTCTACTTTTAAGAAGCAGTTTATTGATTCAGTATTCTGTCATGTGTAGTTCAAATGGTGTTTTTTAAATCAGCTGTCAGTGAAAATTCATCAAACAGCTGTAGATTACCTTATTTTAGACATCTCGGAGAAGATGCCTCAATCCAAGGTGAAAAGTTGTGCTCTTGGAACCCTTGCTGTGGCTTCACCACAGCAGATGGCTAGATTTAAGAGTCTGGGTATCAGTTTACTTATTGTTTGACTTAGAAGAGTAAACGAATGGCAGCATTCCTTTTCGGTTAGCCTTAACGCTATTCTTTTCCTTCATAACCTTATTTTTTCTTAATCTCACAGTTAGGAGGCAATAGCATTACCAGACCCCACACTCTGTTCTGTAACCTGCTCTTCTGTATTCATAAGGCTAGGACAGATGAGACTGTGGACCAGGTTAATTCTCTAAGCTACTCAGAAATGTGGGAGGAAACACTAGCAATCACCAAAAAGGTAATCATCATCTCATCCAATTCTTCCACCTAACAGGCATTTTTAAGATGATTTGTCTTGCTTTCTGCCCCTTCTCCTGAGTGAAAGGAAGCTCTGTAGTTACTGTACTCGTGCCCTTTTTTACTCAAGAAGTAAATCAACTTGCAGTAGTGGGAATTATTCTTACTCACAACTAAAGTTGCCTGGTTGGGTGGATAAGTGGGTCGTGGCCTTTCCGGCAATCTTAAAAAGCAGTTTGTATGTAATTAGAGTTAAGTCCCTTTCAAGATGGTTGATGGGGGATGAAGGGATTGGGAGCAGCCCTGCAGAGAAGGACTTGGGGGTACTGGTGGATGAAAAGCTGGACATGAGGCAGTAATGTGCTCTCGCAGCCCAGAAGGCCAACCACATCCTGGGCTGCATCAAAAGAAGTGTGGCCAGCAGGTCGAGGGAGGTGATTCTGCCCCTCTACTCTGCTCTGGTGAGACCCCACCTGCAGTACTGCGTCCAGCTCTGGGGTCCTCAGTACAAGAAGGACATGGACCTGTTGGAGCAAGTCCAGAGGAGGGCCACAAAAATGATCAGAGGGCTGGAGCGCCTCTGCTATGAGGAAAAGCTGGGAGTGCTGGGGTTGTTCAGCCTGGAGAAGGCTGCGGGGAGACCTTATTGCAGCCTTTCAATACTTAAGGGGGCGTACAAGAAAGATGGGGATAGTCTTTTTAGCAAGGCCTGCTGCAACAGGACAAGGGGGTAATGGTTTTAAACTAAAGGAGGGTAGATTTAGACTGAACACAAGGAAAACATTTTTTCATGATGAGGGTGGTGAAACACTGGAACAGGTTCCCCAAAGAGGTGGCAGATGCCCCATCCTTGGAAACATTCAAGGCCAGGCTGGACGGGGCTCTGAGCAACCTGATCTGGTTGAAGATGTCTGTCCTGGTTTCAGCTGGGATAGTTAGCTTTCTTCTTAGTAGCTGGTAGAGGGCTGTGTTTTGGATTTAGGATGAGAATAATGTTAATAACACACTGATGTTTTGGTTCTTACTGAGCAGAGTTTACACTGGTCAGGGACTTTTCAGCTTCTTGTGCTCTGCCAGGTGCATAAGAAGCTGGGCGGGGACCCAGCCAGGACAGCTGACCCAGACTGGCCAAAGGACTATTCCATACCATATGACGTCATGCTCAGTATATAAGCTGTGGGAAGAAGAAGGAAGGGGGGGACATTGGGTGTGATGGCATCTGTCTTCCCAAGTAACCATTATGCATGATGGAGCCCTGCTTTCCTGAGGATGGCTGAACACCTGCCTGCCCATGGGAAGTAGTGAATGAATTCCTTGCTTTGCTTTGCTTGTGTGCATGGCTTTTGCTTTACCCATTAAACTGTCTTTATCTCAACCTTACATACTATAGCAGTAAAGGAAAACAAGCTTTCCGACGCATGCTGAGCAAGCTCCTGTTTATTCCAATGCTTTCAAATGAACACTGCAGCTCCAGGAGTAGGAAGGAGGTGCAAGGACACCCAAAACACATCCATCTCATCATGACCGAAAACAGAAAACACAGTGGCAATGCAAACATGTTCTAGAACAAAGATAGTAACACTTCCCCACCCCCAACTGTTCATTCCTGATCCCAGACTGGTACTGGAGAAGTCTGTCACCAAATATGCCTGAAACATAAACAAGAGTTACATCACAGTAATTATCTATCTAGTCTTCTAACAAGATACTACAACAAGTGTGCCCAGCATCAGCTTTTTATCTATTTCTTTACTACTATACATTATGAAAAAGATATCACAGAATAATACTTAAGGCTCTAAGGTCAAGAGATTGAGATGTGAATATACAGTTCCACTCACTATGTCAAGATTCAAAAGTGTTGGGAATGTTATCTGGAAACAGATTAGAAGAGTGCTTATTAAATGGGAGGGAAAAGGACTACTTAACATAAGAGTCGGCCAAGAAATTTGAAAATCCAAGTCTCCAGTATTCTCTGTAGACAACACACACTATAAAGCTTTTCATTTAAAATATTTCATGTTTGACTAGATGTATGGACACCCATATGTTATCATGGATCTGTCTGAGAACCACGGGCACAGGACGGTGAGATCAAATGCTGAAAATGAAGAACAGCAATTAATTTTGATTGTTGGGCAGAGTACACTGCCACACATCCACAAGTTACCTTCTCCAGTTACTAGCAGCAAAAGCTCTCTGTTCTATTGCCGTAGGGCTCTTTGTTTCGGTACCTGTTAGTTCTTAGAGCTATACTGTGGGCTTCACTAATATGTACGTAAAGAAATTCAATTTTTTTAACAGCATTTTATTTTATTTTATTAAAAGAGTGGAAGTGTGGACAGAAGGGATTTTTTAAAAAGAAAAATGAACTCTAGTTGTCAACATTACTGACAGTTAAGACTTTGCTTAAATCTTTTGAAACCATACCTTCGTAACAGTAGGCATTTGTAGCTCAGATTCACTGTACTTACACGTCACTCATCCAAATCTGCAAGTCCCATTTCTATCAGTTTCATATGAACTAGGTTTTGGTCATCTTCATACAAAGAAATGGTGACCTCTGGTGAAAGAGCCTGAAAACCAGGACAGAGTTCTGACAGTAAGAGATTTAAATCTCAACCTAACCCATAGTCAAAGTCAATTTACTGGCTATACTCACTGCTTAAATGGAACTGTGAATATGCAAAGAATATTTCTGTTTTTAAGTAAAGGAAACACATTTTAAAACAACAGAAATGCTCAGAAACTTTTTGTTTGCAGGATTAAGAAGAGCACCACATGACTTCCTCTCTTGATCAGCATTCCTTCATGGTAAATGGTTCACGATTTTAAATTATGAGGGTTCACAGTAAAATAAATACTGAGAAATTATACTCAAGAGTGCTAATACGCATTTTAGGCTGAGGAAGAAGTAGAAGAAAAAAAAAGTTTCTCACAAGTATGGAAGCAGAGAGCTGTTTTCCCTCAACGCACTCCATCATAGCCCACAATGCTTCCACACTCCATTCTGGGGAATACGGAATTCTTTTCACATTTTTGTCATATAAAGCAGGTTTAAATCCAGCCAACAGAGCTCGTACTGCCTGAACAGGGTACTTCAGCAGATGGTAAGGTATGTGACGCAATCTAAAACAAAAATGAAAAATGTTTGCCTGCAACAATCCACCTGTCAAGCTAAACTGTCAGTATAGACATAAGGATAGCTTAATGGTTCACGTGGTAGCTTTACAGCATGGAAACTGGCATCAGAGTCCCTGCTCTACAATAACATGCTGGTGTCACACTGAAGAGTTCATCAGGTAGGGCCAGGCCCTCTGAAGGACTTCAGCACAGTAACTATCAAGAAGCAGGCCAGTATCGTACAGACCCCTCAGCCTGCCAGGCACACTGGCTCCCCATCACAGTGCTTGGGGAGGAGTCTCAAGTGCCCAATTGAGATTTGAGCACAGGAATGCAAGCGCATGTCATCACAATGCAGGCTCCAAATCTGGTGCGTCTGGAAAATGACATAGACCTTTGTGGTCCAAAGCGCTTCCCGCCTGGATGTGCTCTAGACACCCTGCTGGAAATCGGTACCTTAGTTTCATATTAGCATCTCCCCATTCCTCTACCTATCCCAGAAGCAAGGGAACGGGGAAGCAGAGCAGGGAGTGCAACCCTGAAATAAAACACACTCTCTCCTCCCATGACCCTAACAGTCCACAAAGCAGGAAATCTGTTCAAATCCCCATTTTGCCTCACCTTCAGCAAGGACCTGTAGAACCCCCAGTGAGCTCAAGAGCAAGTCAATGCGATTAAGCAGTATATATGTATATATATCTAAAGTGAAAGTGCTTCCAGAGAGAAAATTCAGCCAAGCTTAGGGGACCCTAGAAGCCTGGGGTGTTTGAGACACTTAGCTGACATCTGTGTGTCAGCACAGGAGCACTTCCTAGAGTGGAACAGGGATTTGAACTTCCAGTTTCCACACAAGCAGCACGGGGTATGTCCCACTCAGATCCTCCCTTATCTTATTCCCCAGCTGTCTTCTATGCAGGCTGCAGTCACACAGGACCAGAGGATTTGTTTGTACACCTGGAGGGCTCAGTCCCTATTTTGCATAAGCTTCTTGGGTGCAAAAGCAGATTATAAACCTGAGCCTACTTCACAGGTTAAGTAACCTGAAGATGATGGAGAAATCTGATATTATAATAATGAGCTTCTCCGAACAACCTGAGAAAGAGAAGCAGGTGCACAACCCCATACCCTGCAGACAGAAATTATTTAACCAGCCAACCAGCTTCCTCCAACTGAAATATAATGCTAAATTATTACAAGTAATATATCTATAGTTTATATAAATAAT